CCGGCGCGCTCGCCTCGGGCACCCGGGGCTGCAGAGCGCGGCCGGCCGCGCGGTCCCGGATCGCCGGGTCTGCCTGCCCTCTCACGGGGCCTTGCGGCCAGCAATCGGAAGGTGCTGGGACTTGAGCGCCACTCGCCGCGCGCTCTGGTTAACAAGGGAGCCCCGGCGGGGATGCGGGGCCGGAGGTGCCTGCCCGGTGGCCTGCGCCGGGCGAGCCCCTCTCCGCGGGCACCTCGGGGCCGCTCCACGGGTCGCACGTTCCGGGGCTTAGGCTTTCGGGGTCGCAGGCAGATCCGGACTCCGCAGGGAACGGTTCCTTTCGTGATATGCGGGGCACTGTGGTCCACGAACGTCGGATCCCCGGGATCGCTCTCCGCGGCGCCCGGTGCGGGGCCGGCGTGGACAGAACAGGAGAGCCGGGCTTTGGCGGGAAGCGCGCGCACCTCCGCCCGGTCGCTTTGTACCTGGAGGCGGCTGCCCGGAGTTGGTGTTAACTTTCCTGCGCCCGCGGCGTCCCGGGCGTGCCCGGCAGGGGGCGCTGAGAGCGAGCGCTCGGAGCCCAGCGGCGCCGCTGCGCGCGGGGACCCGGGCGAGGTGCGGGTCCGCCGCGGGGGGTCGTGCGGTGACTTCCTGTGGGCGGTGCAGGTGGAGGGCGGAGGAGCCCGTGTGCTCCCCGTGGAGACCTGTTGGCCTTGCTGGAAGAGGAAGGGTAAGCCGGGCTCAGGTCTGCCAGCCAGAAAGGGCTGTTCAGAGACGAATGTGCGGCGCGGTCTGCACCTCCGCCCTTCTCTCTGTGCCTGTCGTGTCTGTGCGGGGAGGGACCCACAGTGAGGGCTCGCAGGTACGTCTAGTGCAGACTCGAAGCTCGGCTCCTTCGCAATACATTGGAAAAGCACCAGGCATTACAAAAGACCGGTGCCGTTTATTTTTAAGAAAAACAGTTGTGGGAAGAACTGTCTTAATGGCTGCTTTTGGGCACAGGAGTGTTTGCTATTAATTACAGAGTTAGTCTTTCATAAAGAGACCCGGAAAGACAAAACCACACAATCTTTAATAGGGATGATTTTTTCATATCCTTAGGCTTCAGCTAGTTGGTAATGACTGCCACTTTCATTCTGTAAGAGGTGACGTTTACCCTGTGTTAGTTACTGTGCGTGACGCCTTCACAGTCTGCATCCTGTACTTTCAGGGGTCTGTGACATTGTTCTCCTTACCCGCGCCCCTGTTTACCTAAAGTAACAGTGACCTCCCCAACACGCAGCCCGGTCCTGAACCTTGGTTTTCCACGGAGAAGCACTCCTACATAGGGTTGGTCCACTTTTTCCCTCGGGCTGGTTTCTTGTAAAAACTTTGAACGCGGCAGCCCCTCGCTGGTGTTTGCAGTCACCTTGTCTGCGCAAGAGCTTGGAGCTGAGGAAGGCCTGCGCTTCAGAGGGCACATTCTCCTCCTCGCCGGGAGGAGGTGGACCATGCTCACCCTGCTGCGCCTTTCATGGATTGCTCTAACTTGTTCGGTGGTTTTAATGGCAAACAGCTGCAAGATCCCTGCTGTGAGCTAAGACTTTGGTCTCTTGGGTGGGAAGCTTGTCTCTGTCCAGAGGAAGTTTTTGAGATGTTCAGACTTTGGTAAAAATAAACCTAAGTTCTTCAGCGCTGTTTTCCTTTCAGATGATTTCTTCACTGTGTCTCAAGAGAATGAAGCAAAGTTACAGTGCAGAGGCCGTTAAAACTTACTGACAAGGAGACTAAGACGAGGATGAGGACTTTCTTGCAAGCTTTTCCAGAAGTTTGAGCAGCTTATGGGCTTGTGAAGCTCCCATCCATGGATTTGCTGTATGAAGTTTTCCTTCAGATTTGCTTTAACCTCCTCCTGGGGAGAGCGACTGTTAAAACCAGCAGACCTTTATGTTGTGTACTAGTTGCTCAAAATAGATGCCATCTCCTTGGGAACCGTGTCAGATGGGCCTGGTGTCAGAGAGGATGGCTTATTTGAGCAAGTATGTAGTTTTAATGAATTTGGTGATTATTTTTAATGATTCTGGATTTCCTCTTTGGGGTCTTAAAGGCATTACAGTTGAGGCTTTGTCCCTGATTCAAGAAGAGGAAGAGCTTGCTGCTAAGTGTCCAGCCAGATAGAAAGACTCTCGTTAGGTAAACAAGCGATCATGAGCTTCAGAGTCCTCAAAGATTCTGAGGACAAGGGTTTGCGTTACAGATCATACGGTGTGCAAGACAGAACAAATTAATAATTCTTAGTAAACCCCAGTCAAGTAATCTCATTACAGTAGTGCATGTAAAACTATTAAAGAAAAGCATCCCTGCAGTCTGCATTAAATTCTCTATGATTCTTGATTCTAAAATTATACCAAATTTGTGTTTAAAATGCTTCTGAAATTGTTGCTATAGTTACCTAGACAAATTGCTTAGGATATAATTGTAATACCAAGGTGAAGAGTTTTTATGTTTAGCATTCAATAATGCTTAAAGTGTAAATTACAGTGTCTAGCAAATGTAGTTGCAACAAAATGTAAAGTGTCTAATAAGGAGCCTTGTACAAGTCCACTCACCTGTATGTGTTTGCAGGTTTTTATAAAGTTACCTATTTTTTTATGGATCCCAAACTGAGTGCATATAAATATTTTAAGTTGTTTATATGGTTTTGAGGAATGTTGCAGACAAAATAGTCATTTTCAAATATGTTCCCAGCAACTTCTCTAAATTGAGATGCAGACGTCTGTTGAAAATGACTGGTTTTTGTCACTGCCCTGCCCAGCAGAAGTGATCTGTTCTAGGGAGTGGGCAAGCTGTGGACTGGTCATATCACCAGAGATCAGTTCAGCAGGTGATGGCCAGTTCTTTGGAAAGCAGTTCACACAAACAGCCATTGTTATACTTTACGTATCATTTATTTTACTGATGAACTTTCCAGCCACTGGTCAACCAGATGCACAAAAGCAATTTCTGATAGCAAGAAAGGAAGAAAAAGATTAAGCTAGAGCTGCCTCAAAATTTGTTTTATTTAAAGTTTAAGCCAAACAGAGCAAACCAAGGGGAAAAAAACCCTTGATACAAGAGAAGATACTTGATAATGAGTAATTTATTTTGACATACAGGTACTGACACAATGTTTGCCATCTGGGAGGTTCTAGCACTCAGGAAACCTGGCTGTCCATTTCATGGGGTATTTTGACGCCAGGCAACTTCAAAGACCATTTGTATTTCACCTGGGGCATGGCATTTAAAGTAGGATTAGTGGAACAGTGGGCTCAAAAAAACCACATTTTCCCAAAGGAATTGCTGTCATCTTTCTTTTTCTTCTTCTTTTTTTATCCAAGATTAATAGTTGTTTGACAAGAGCAAAGACGAGCGTATTTTATTTCCCTCTGCGAAGCTGTGAAATGTACAGCCACGTACTTAGTGCTGAACATGGAAAAGTAAAATTATTCCACTTTTACCCTTTCTCCACATGGACTGGAATTGCCTTTCTGATTAACAATGAAAAAATAAACTATGTTGAAAAAGAATTCATTTCTAAGAGGACAACTTTCTTTTACTTTGGTTGTCTTCCGCTGTTACTCAGTGTTTGTCACTGCAGTTCTGTAGAGTTGGCGGAGCTACCCTTCCTGCAGAATAATGAGGAAGCAGACGCTGCAACAATCTTATTTTATGTTGCATTTTTATGTACATTTGAGAGTAAATCCCATTACTGCAATAGGTAATTCAATTACAGATTGTATGATAAATAGCCAGGAGAATGATGTTATCCCGAGCCAGTTCTGTTGGAGAAATCATACTGTATTTGCTGAGATGTCAGATAAAGAAGTTATAGGCAAGTGACAGTCGGGATTGCCAAGGACAACTTGTTCACAGGCAATAGAGCTCTTTTTGATCAGCACGAATTCACCCAGCATTTGGCGATGATACGTGATGTACTCATGGAAAGGAAAAAATAATAATAATTCTAAGCGGTTTCTCATGGTTCATCTGCAAAATTGTAAAAGGGCTAATGCTTGACTAAAACATTCATTCCTCTGAACCACGGGAGGGATGTGTTCCTCACAAGCAGACTCCACCTAAAACTCTACATAGATAACTTTGCTTTCTATGAAAAAACAAGCAAGGCATGGTGGCATAACTATAATCATAGCATCCTGGGAGGCTGAGGCAGGAGGATCACCAGTTTGAGCCCAGCCTGGGCAACTTAGTGACTTAGTGAGACCCTATGTCAAAATAACAAATAAGAAAAAGGACAGAGATATAGCTCAATGCAAAGGC